TAGATAGATAGATAGATAGATAGATAGATAGATAGATAGATAGATAGGCAGACAGACAATCAAAGAAAAGAAGCAGCAGCAACGAAGTGGAAGCCTGTCTCAAGCGTTCTTCATATTTGTTTATATGGAGGCTAGAACTAAGCTTTCAATTTTTTTTAAAGTATTTGATTTGAAGAAAAGGGCAATACCGCCAGCTACCAACCTCACTCCAATACGTACTTTTGAAACCTTCAGATTGCGTTCTCCCGTGATTCCAGATAAGTCACTAGTGTTGTTAAAGATAGCTGTCACTCCCATTCTTTGTAACAAGTCTTTGACGTTGTAAGATGTAGAAATGGTAAACTTAGGAAAGTGCAGATTTATATTTCTGGTTAACCAAAACAAAGAAAACAATCCAAATATTATATTTTTAGTTTTGTGACCGTAGTTTCATTACATTGTATTGCATTCAAAGTTTAAAAGCTTTGTATATGTGTGTGTGTGTGTGTGTGTGTGTGTGTGTTTGTACATATATATGTATATGAATTTATTATTTATTTTTATTTATCTTACTTAAGAAAAAAAATACTTAAGAAGAAACAATTTGTTGGGGAAAGCTCTACGGGAAAGAGGTCACTTTTTCTTTATAGATTAAAAACTAATTAAGTAAGAACACTCAGTCAGGGGAATCACATGGACACACTGAACCAGTTCCAGTTTCTTTATTCAGATAGGTTTGCAGGCAGAGATGCCATGCAGAGAGATAGCTGTTATGTCCTTATATTCTCTCTCTCCCTCTCCTTCTCTCTCTACATGAATACTGTCATCACAATTGTTGGTCAACAATCAGGAATACCATCTTTACAATTCCATAGTCACATCTCATTTAGGTGTAAACATTTTTTAATTAAAATTATTTGGTGCTTACCCATGTACGTAGTCCTTGGCTTACAATCAAAAGTGAGCCCAAACTTTCTGTTGCTAAGTGAGACATTTGTTAAGTAGATTTTGCCCCACTTTACAATCTTTCTTGTCACAATTGTTAAGTGCAGTTGGTAAGTAAGCACAATTGTTAAGTGAATCCCTGTGGTTGTTAAATTAGTAATCCAGATGAAAAGTGAATCTGTCTTCCCCATTGACTTTGCTTGTCAGAAGGTCACAAGAGGTGATCACATGATCCCCGGAGACTGCAACCATCATAAATAGGAGTCAGTTGTCAGGCATCTGAATTTTGATCACATGACCATGGGGATGCCACAGTGGTTGTAAGTGTGAAAAATGATCATAAGTCACTTTTGTCAGTGCCATTGTAACTTTGAATGGTCACTAAATGAACCTCTGTAAGTTGAGGACTATCTGTATGTAGTGTCATATCTAGATTTTAGATAATTAGAAGTAATCACAGAAATATTTTTTTGCTTAATATAGACTTGATAATTTGTTAGAAATAACTCTTGAAGGATTTGCGGCCAATATTGCATATAATGTTTGTACAATATAAAAGTGATTTATTTTATAACAAATTAATGAGCCGAGGTGGTACAGTGGTTAGAGTGCAGTACTGCAGGCTACTTCATCTGACTGCTAGCTGCAGTTCAGCATATCGAATCTCACCAGGCTCAAGGTTGACTCAGCCTTCCATCCTTCCAAGGTGGGTAAAATGAGGACCCAGATTGTTGGGGGCAATATGTTGACTCTATAAACCGCTTAAAGAAGGCTGTAAAAGCACTATAAAGCGGTATATACGTCTAAGTGCTATTGTTAATTCAAGACATAAAAATTTAGAAGAAAGGGGATTGTAACAATGTTGAGAAAAGACTTACTTATGCGTCAAGGAGGTTGTCCATTTATACAGGGTTTCTGTCACCAAAGCTGCCTCCACGTGTTCTAACTTCCCTTCATCCGGTAGAATAAACAATGCCGTAATATCTCCTTTATAAGGAATTTCTACCACCCAGCAAGAAAGATCTTGATCACGGAAAATGTTATAGTAGTCCGTGTGTCTCATAAAATCAATCTCCACTGTTGTGTTTGCATCTACATAGAAGTCTTTTTTTCTGGTCAAACGAGTGTCAAAAGGTTTTTCCCAGGAAGCTTGAAAAAAGAAAAGAAAATCAGGGTAGTGATTGTGGAATGGGGGGGGACAGAGGGACATAGATTAGATAGGGGATAATCTGAGTAATTCATTCCCCTCAAAGTAGGAATTAATTACTCACTAATATTTCTTCTTTTTCACTCAACCAGAATAGAAGGGCTGAAACTGTGCGCTTTAGTAAGATCAATGCTTTGATCATCTTCTCTGATAGGCAGGAATTTTTCCAAAGCATTCAGGATTTCCTGAGATTTGTTGAATCTCTGATTGCAGAAAGTTCTGATCATGTCATGCAACCAAATGTTTCCAGGAAATGAACTGATCAAAACATAAAAGGTTTTCTCTAATACTGGGTTGAACATTAATTAATCAATATTCTCCACATTAGCATAGTGATGTGTATGTGATAGTGAAAGTGCAATTTATTACTGAGGAAACATGCAGAACTAAGATGGCAGATCTAAGGTTTTTTTTTCCTCAGCAATCCTTGAAAACCTCCCTTAAAATTATAAAGCAGAAGTCCTTGTTACTTATTTATTTCTTTATTCAACTTGTACGGCCGCATATCTTAAATGCATGATTCTAAGTAAAGGTAAATGTTCCCCTCGCTCATACGTGCTAGTCATTTCCAGTTCTAAGGAGTGGTGCTCATCTCCGTTACAAAGCCGAAGAGCCAGCACTGTCTGAAGACATCTCCATGGTCATGTGGCTGGCATGACTAAATGCTGAAGGCCCACAGAACGCTGTTACCTTCCCACCAAAATGGTCCCTGTTTTTCTACTTGTATTTTTGCATGCTTTCGAACTGCTAGGTTGGGACAATAATTCTGATTTTAGTCAGCTAATAATTAAAAACAAAGTAAATAATAATAGTAATAATCCAAAACTATAGTGATAATAAAATAGCAGCCAGCAACAATACATAACAAACACTTACTGTGGAAGAAATTGCTCCTTTTAACACAACTGTAAAAAAATATTTTTACCATTCCCTTCCTAACTTCTAAAACTTGAAATTTTCCAGCTGCTAGCAGTACAGATATTCCTCATTTAATAAGTGCAGTTGGGACTTGCAACTGCATTGCTAAGTGCTGTGATTGTTATGCAAATCATCACATGTCTATGACAGATTTACAGATTTACTTCTGCTTTGGTTGTTAACTGAATAACCACAATCATTAGGTGAGATATGTTATTACGACTTGCATTTTTTTTCCCTTCTCCCCCCAAAACCCCCCCCCCCCCCCCCCCGCAACACAATACAACTCACAGTGAAGACAGAAAATCCCTACCCAGTGAATCCTATTAACAAACAAACAACCCTATTGTGTCGTATGAACTTATTGCATGCTGGCCGGCTCCGCAAGTCACTTGTACTATGTTGTTGTAAAGTTATTTTCCATTCAGGAGTCTGACAGCCCATGATTAAAAACTATTCTTCAGCCTGTTTGCGCAGCTGCCTATGCTTCTATATCTCCTTCTATATCTCCTTCCTGATGGTAAGAAAATAAACAAGTGCTGACCAGGGTGTCAGTCATCCCTGAGGATTTTCCTCACTCTTCTAAGGCAGCGAGCCCTAGCAATGTCGTCTAGTAGTATCAGGGGACAGGCCACAATGTTTTGCACTGTGTTCACCACCCTCTGTAATGTCTTTCTATCCGTGACTGTCAAGCCAGCATACCACACCGTAATGCAGTGAGTGAGGATGCTTTCTATTGTGGACCGGTAAAAGGAGGTCATAAGTTGTTGTTCCACTTTGTTCTTTTGCAAGACCCTGAAGAAATTGAGTCTCTGTTTGGCCTTTCTGGCCACCTAGATCATGTTGATTTTCCAGGTGAGATTTTTGCTGAGGCAGACTCCCAGGAATTTAAAGAAGGAAACTCTTTCCACACAGCCCTCATCGATGTAAAGTGGGGCAGGCTCCTCTCTCTTCTTCTGGAAGTCTAACACCATCCCCTTTGAATTGCTGATGTTCAGGTGCAGGTTGTTTTCTAAGCACCAGGTGGGTAATTTTTGAACCTCCCCCCTGTACCCTGTTTTGTCTCCACCAAATTTCCTGACAGTTTAGAACAATTAATCAGTGGAACCACTTGCCTCCAGAAGTTGCAAATGTTCTAACATTGGAAGTTTTAAAGAAGAGATTGGATAACCATTTGTCTGAAATGGTTTAGGGTTTCCTGCCTAAGCAGGGGGTTGGACTTGAAGACCTCCAAGGTCCCTTCCAACTCTTCTCTTCTCTTCTATTACCTAATATGCAAAGATATATAAGTTTTGAAGTTTAAAGGGTATAGTGAGTAGATCAGGCAAGGTGCAGAAAGCAGCTGGGGTGCCAGGGCAGGGTGGGCAAGTAAAAACGTGAGATATATAGGACGGGATAGTGTTTGCGTGGATGGGCAGGCCCAACCAGTGGTCGTAACTACCGGTACAGATGAGCTGGTCCGAACCACCAGCAGCGCACCACTGGTGTGGCCTGTGCATGACACATCCGGCCCGTGGGCTGCCAGTTTGACACTCCTGAATGATAGACAGACAGACAGAGATAGATAGATCAGAAAATGTTCAGGAAAAGGAAAAGAATATTCTTTTCTCCACCCAGATACTTGAATTTCATTCTTATATTTCTATAAAATGCTCAGTACAAGACTGGCAGCCTTTTAGTAGTATATAATCAAGAAGAAGAAGGCTTCCCCATTCCTGTAGCATGTGTTCTCTTACAGGATGACTGGAAAGATATAAAAGAAAGGTGGATCCATTTATAAACAACTGTTCTTCTACCTACCTTTGAAGAAGATGTAATTCACAAGGACCATCACAGTATCTGGGTCTAAATGTTCAATGGCATGAGGTATTTTCCCATGAGTTTTGTTTCCCACATAGTCATTGATCTGCTTTTTAACCAGTCTGGGAACACTGAAATTGGTAGAGAATCCCTCAGCTTCATAAAACATTTTGGCATCTTCCAAAAATTTAGCCAATAATTTCAAGGATTTTTCAATGAACAGGGCATTGCCTATGTTCAGCTGGGCTTTACTGCTTGGATGGCTAAGTCCATTGATAAGATGTTGGAATCCTTCATGTATCTTTCTCTCTTCAATGTCTGAGAGGTTAAAAGCAAGTGTTTTGTGAATCTGATTCTTAGTTTCTGATATGGCACCTAATGTCAATAGTGCAAAAGCTGTTGAGATGCTGAAGGGAGAGAAGAAAATATTTTTGCCAGTTGCATCTGAAGCAATTTCTTTGTAGAATCTGAATGCAAATTCAGAATTACTGGAAACTATCTTATGATAGTTTAGGTACTTCTGCCCTTCTTCTGCCAAAGGAAGTTCGTGATGTTTGTGTGGATTTTTATCTTTATGGACGTGGTCGTGATCAGGATATTCTGGGAATTGATGGCAACATACTTGAAGACTAATCAGTAACAAGAAATTGATGATGGACTTCATTGTACATCTTCTGCTAGTAGTCCCTATAGAAGATATTAGAGGAACAATCCAGAAATACATAGGAATTATGTAAGAATGGTAGAATATGCCCTATAGCTATATATTTACATAGCACAATTAATTTAGCTTACCTGAAAGTAGTATAAGAAGGAATTTTAGAAGTTAATTTCACAAATTTACATATATATACATATATACATGTACACACACACACACACACACACACACACACACACACACACATACATACACACATTCTACAATGGTGCTTTCAGCATTTTAATAGCAGTGGTTCCAAAAACAAAACAAAAAACTACATTGTTCTAAATATTTGTAAAATAATTACACATTTTATCATTTTCTCTAAAACAATAATATACATTTTTGACCAGATATTTGGGTTTTTATAACAGTCTGAAATCCTAAAGGCTCATTTTATATTTATTTTGTTGTTTATGAGGATTCTAATCCTCATCTTTCAGGCAACTTTAATGCTGACTATTTCCATTTCTTCAGGCTACTAGCAAATTATTCTCCAGTACTCTAACCCTTCCCCCCCCCCCAAATATAGCATGTCTACTAAAAAAAAGTCTACAAAATTACTAGGAAGTTCTGCTTTTTCTCTTATAATAGAGGGGGAAAAAGTCTGTGATTAGCTTGCTATTAATTTAAGCACTCAGTCTGAAAAACTCTTTTGGTTTGTCAGAAGCCAGCATTAAATCTTCATTCAGGAAGTCTGCACTGATAGCCTATCTTTCTGTGTAGGAGAAGATTGAATAGCTCTGGCTCAAGATTGAATAGTGCTGCATTGGTATCAGGTTCTCCCAAACTCACATTTTGGGGAGATTTCTCACTTTCTTTTGGGTAAGAAGTAGAGTAGGTGACATGAGCGTCATGTAACTGTGCTTTTCTGAGGTAATACAATGGAATTTTGTCTGCATTCTGAATCACACGAGAAGATATATCTCATTCTGATTAACATTGTTTACATGCATTTTCACTCATGGAATGTGATGGCCTCTTTTTCCTTTTCTTGAGACTTGATGACCTATTCCTAACTGCTATACTGGATATATACAACCTTCTGAAATATATTTTAAGGCCATATATGCGGCTGCAGGAAGGAGAGGGAGTACATTTGTCCTCCATCCTGTAAACAGAAATCATTATTCCGGAAGGGAGGTTAATTAGATGTTACCCAGGGTTTCTAATCCACAGCAGGAAGCAGAGATCTTGCCAGAAGCATTAATAAACTAAGATACAGGAAAATTGCATATGATACTTACAATTCTCCAAAAGTATTTTATGGCACTCTGCTGAATTACAAACATCATTGAAATTTATATACAACTCTGGGAGTTAGTATTCATTGTTAATCATTAAACAAAGTAAATAGGGATTAGCAAAGGGAGCCTGAGTGCAAAATGTGATGCAATCTATTTGTAGCTTAGCTGACCTTTGCAAAATATTATCACCAACCAATAAGAGGCTAGGAATTAAGTACGGTAAATTGATGGGAATAGTTCCCAGTCTCAGTAATATCAAAACTATTCACTCCATGTTGTTTCATTTTATTCTTTATAAACTAATGAAATGTTGGAAAATAGTTTTATAAAGGGACCCAGGCAATGGTGGGATTCATTTTTTTTTACTACTGGTTCTCTTAGTACCGGTGGCTTGGTGGGCATGGTGTGGTTTGGTGGGCATGGCAGGGGAAGGATACTGCAAAATCCCATTCCTTCCCCACCCCACTAACCTGATTTCCAGCTCAGTTCTCCTGTGCAGGGCAACAAAAGAAGACCCAGCTGATCAGCTGGGACAGGAGGCAGAGAATAGATGGGGATAGGGCCAGTCAGAGGTGTTATTTGCCAATTCTCTGAACTACTCCAAATTTCCACTACCGGTTCTCCAGAACTAGTCAGAACCTGCTGAATACCACCTCTGGACCCAGAACTCTGTCCATCAGCAAGAGAGCTCTCCAAAACTAGAGTTATGATGACCCAGGGTGGGATACAAAATAAACACAGTCACAAAAAACAGGTAAAGCCCCTTTTATTCCTTCACTTTGCTTCCAAGCTCCAAATATCCTTGACTGGAGACAAAAAACTCCCACATGGGCAATTACAAGAAGGAGGAAATGCTGTTTAAACTAAAATGCCTATAAATTATAAAGAGTAAAAAACAACACAAACCAGGCAAGATAAGGGCTTGAAGACGTCCACAGATATCAGAACACACACTGGGAAGGACGCCAAACTCAGAGAGGAACAATAAACTAGAGATATTTCCACGCTTTATTTCCAGCACTCGCCCATACGCATGTCCGTCCTCTTATCCAGTTGTCATAGCTGCAGCCCATGAAGAGGATCAAGGCCCTCTCCTCCCCAGTAGACCACACCTCTCCCTTATCCTCTCCTCCGTGGGTGCCCTAGGATGGAGAGGGGATGGGCCTGGGTCCTCCTCTGACTTCCCAGACGGCCTCTGCCCTTCCCCAGCCTCCTCCACAACCTCCAGAGCCACACTTCCACTCCCCGTCAGCTGTTCCTCCTCTCCCTCAGTCAGTTTCCACCAGGGCCATGACAAGACTTGTTCTCTTCTGAAAGGCTCTACATTTCAAATTGTTTATAAAAATCAGATTCTGCTGTTTGCAATTTTTGACATATGTTATTCATTTTATCTTCTGAAGTCTTTGTTCCATAATATGCAGTGATTACATCTAGTCATAATACTACTGAAATGAGCTGATAAGATGCTGGTTTAATTCACTTCATTAATCCCAACAATCCAAATTTATTTACTTGCTTTATCAAAGTCAGAGAGCAAAAAAAAAAAACTATTTTCATTGCTTCCTTCTGTTACATCCAAATCACAGATGTCAGGTGGCAGAGGCTGGTAAAAGAAAGATCAAGTTAAAAATGGGTTAAACCAGGTGAGGCTGTGGAAGAAAGCATTCTAGGGAAAAAAGTATTAAAGAAGCAGCTGGCCAACAGGTTGGAACGTTGCCAGTGGTTCCACTATTATCCTCCTTTTTCTTCCTTCCCCTCACTTTAAAATGAACTTTTTTAAGGAGTTAAAAGAATGCCAGAATGCCCTGCTCTGCACGATTTCCCTGATTTGTTACTCTTTCCAGCCCAACAGAATGTTATAAAAAGCTATGTGAGGAACCTTAGGACTTAGTCCATCCAACCATCCACAAAGCATTATACTCCACAAAGAGTTAAATCTGGTTTGATGGGAGGAACTAGGAGAAAAATGAGTTTGAAAATGGGCAAGATCCAAATCCACAGACTACAGAGAAAAAGAATTCCTGCCAAATTCTCCAAGTGCAAAGGAAAATGGGCGGCACCTTGGAATGCTGCCAATTGCTCCATTCTAAGACCACCTCTTTTGGGGTCACATGACCCAGGAGCTGTTTCTCAGTACATGCTTCTATGCTTAACCAATAGAAGAGGAGGCTCCAAACCCATTTATATAAAAAAGTGATACCATTCTGATTAGATTGTCTCTGTCATTATTATAAGGCAGAACATAAAGAAGGTTATAAAAGATGGAGCTACAGGAAGCTAGATGGTTTAGCAAGATGGTTTAGAAATTATTTGTAATAATCCAGCTACTTTAAGCCAGCAACAGGGAAGGGGGTAGCTGGAATTCGAAGTAACCAATGAAATGCTGACAAGTCATATGTCTGTGGTTTAGTACTTCTGAAATGTATAAATGTGGTGTCAAATCTATAGAAAGGCATTCAGATGTGCTCTGGCTAAAATGCTCTGAACCTTTGCGCAAATAAAACTTATTTTTGGATTCCAAGGTCTGAGTCTGTCATTTCCTGCAACATTTACACATACCAGATTGGCTCCAATCCTATTAGCCTTTCATAAGGTCTTAACAGGTACAGCTGTGCCCCTGTGGCTGGGGATCTGAATGTACAGTGGAGGAGCCTATAAAGTGGTTGTTAGATTACTTCAGACTTCTGTTGTGGGTTTTATCACTTTTTGTATGGTTTTATGTATATTTTAAAATATGTTTTAAGATTGTAGTTACTCTGTAGTTTTTAATAGTTTAAAGTGGCCCAGTCATGCAGTTGTGGCTATATTGAATAAATGAATGAATGAATGAGTTAATTAATTAACTCAAAGGAATGGCTTGCCTTCAGAAGTTGTGGGTGCCCCATCACTGGAGGCTTTTTTTATATATATATATATTTTATTTTAAGACAAACATACACAGACAATACATAAAAATATATAAAACCATCTTCCATTTTGTACATACGGTGTGTCAGTTGATTTAGAATCTTTTGTGCAATCCTTTCATAATCATTGTTCACAATTTATATCAATTCACATTGTCAAACTAACATATGCTTATCTAGTTATCAATTATTAATTATCCTGCTATTTATTCCATCAATATTATATTATGCTGTCATCATGGTTATGTATGTCTACATTATATTTTGTATCAGTCTATTAAACTTCTATAACAAAATTATCTATTCTGTTACCTTACCATGTCTTTTTATCCAACCATTGATAAAACAAATCCCATATCACATAAAATTGCTTGTCTTCTTGTTCTCTAATTTCAAATGTCAGTTTACTCATTTCAGCACAGTCCATAATTTTTTTAATATCTTCCTCCTGCATAGGTACTTTGTCATTTTTCCAGTTCTTCGCAAATACAATTCTAGCCTCTGTTAAAACATTTACAATCCAATATTTCAGTTCTTTATTGTATATGTCCAGTATGATTCCAATAAAAAGATCTCTGGTTTAAAGTGTATATGTTGTTTTACCATTTTTTCCAACCATGTGTGGATTTTAGTCCAATATTTCTTTGTGTCCGAACATGTCCACCCCATATGGTAATATGAACCAGGTATCTGATGACATTTCCAGCCTTTATCCAATGTTTTCTTAAACATTCTCTCAAGTCTCGTCGGGGGTAGGTGCTACCTGTAAAACATCTTATACAAATTTTCTTTATTCGCAGTTGACATTGTCATTTTATAATTTTGAGACCACAATTTTTGCCATTTTTCTAAATCAATCCCATATCCAAAATTTTTCCCCCAAGCAATCATCGTTTCTTTAACTTGTTCCTCCTCCAATTTAAATTCTAATAAATTTCCATAAAGTTTTTAAATTACCTTTTCATCAGTAACCATCAAAATTTTATCTAAATCAGTCAACTTATCATAAATACCTTCTGCTTTAGAGTCTTTATCAAGCCTAGACTGCATTTGCAAATATGAAAGCCAATTCATTTTTACACCTTGTTCTTCCAACGCTTGCCTAGATTTAAGTTCACCCTTTTCACTCAGTATCTCACCATATCTGTTTGTTCCTTTTTATATATTATTGGATAAGAAAAAGCTTCAATAGTTGATATCCATTTTGGAGTTTTTAAGTAATATTGTCTTTTTATCTTCTCCCAGTTCAAAAACAATGCCTCTCGAATATAATGTCTTCTAAAATACCCCTGGAGGCTTTTAAGAAGAAACTGGACAGCCACTTATCTCAAATGGTATAGGGTCTCCTGCTTGAGCAGGGGGTCAGACTAGATGACCTCAAAGTCCTTTCCAACTCTGTTATTCTATGTTAACCCTTAGAGTTTATGCTTGGATGACATTCTCTGAGGAGTGGCAGGATGTGATCCTTTTCTGTACTTCAGCTTTCTACCTTCTGAAGGACATGTCCATTCTGCATTTCTTCTCCTCTCTAGGCCACTCTAGGAATACTTTGGGGTCTTTTCTCAGATTCCTCTGGAATAGACAAGCCATCAGCAGCCAAGGGTATCAATTCATCTTGGATTGCCATGCATCTTCTCTTTTCCCATGCTCCAATACTAAGGGTAGCTAGCAGTCTCTTTTTCTACCGGCCCATCCACCCTCTTTTAACTTCCACTCTTCCTTTCCTATAGGAAAGTTTCTGTCTGTATGGGGGGAAAAATATTATCTGTTATACATTCAGCCTGCACCCATCATAGCAGGAGAAAAGTGGGAAGGACAGCAGAAAATGTGACAGGACAGCAGATATTTAGCTGATATATTCTATTACACTGTAATTTATCCATCGCTGCTTTATTAAGCTGAAAACACAAAGTTTAGACTAGCTGTCCAGCAAAGGAGCGCAGGAAGATTCCATTTATGATAAGAGGGTAATATGAATGAAGACAGTCCTGACCAGACTGAGAAATTTGGCAACACTTTGGAGGTATTCAGTCCAGATTGCAGGCTTACACAATACAGGTGTCCACACATTTATAGAGAAATTTGTTTTTATATAGAAGATGAAAGCATCAAAATGCAGATATGTGCAGGTGTAATCAGCATCTTA